AAAAAGAGAGTATAAATAGTAGTTTGCTAGTTACTTACTATTATTCAGTGATAAGAAAATGTGACAGCACACAATTTAAGTCAAACAGCACAGTTTTCTATATCAAGGTAATTTTATTTTCAGAAGGTATCTATTTACAAAATCTACTTCATCTTAACTTGGAAGCATGTATCAATAAATAAATTTCTTGTTACTTAGCCGTTAAGAAAAGATATGTTTCAGGTTTAAAATTCTTGATCTATATTATATTTTATAAATAAGCAGTCCCTGTTATAATAATGCTTTAATTTATTTTTAAATTTTAACAAGTAAATATTGGGCAGAGAATTTATAAGGCAGGTAGATAATACATCCAACCTGGTTCTTTTCTGGTACCACATAGCCCCAAGAGCATCTCTCATGCACCACTGAAGTGGCTCATGTGGTTTCCAGCACTGCAAGTCAGGAGCAGCACCTCATCCTCTGGCCTCAGCACTAAATCACTGGTCTTGGTGGCAAAGTATCATGTAGAGTGACTCCTAGCCCCCTGAATATCACTTGGGTGACCCTGTGTAAAAAAAGTTAATGTTATTTTTGATAATACCTGTTTTTTTTTTAAATTATGTTGTCACTTTTCACTTGTCATCTCATTGTTCATCGATTTGCTCATCGAGGGCCAGGAAATACTGCCAGGAATTATGTTATTCAGTAATATTCATTGATAAGAAAATGTGAATTTTTTAGAGCACAAAATGATTTTCCTGATGGCATCATGCTAAAAAAAAGAGAGAATTCAAACCTGCCAAAAAACTCAGGTATACAGGTCCCTGTGGGTGAAAACTCCAGCCTTCTCAGGTACCCCCTTCCCTGTACTTCCAGAAGCCCTGGTAATCATGCCCACAAACCACCTCTGCCAACTGTAAGCTCGCCTACAAGCTTGTTCCAGATTTTCATAATTAAATCTTGAAAGAGATCAATGAGCTGCAAAAGTTTCTCAGATACCTGTTCACTGCTGAGATATCCAAGGCATTCTCAGAGCGAGTGGACCAGTTCCTGGGCAGGCACTGGACCCCATACCCCGAAACCACAGCCATGCCTCCAGCCAGACTCCATCACCTCAAGGCTGAGATTTACGGAGAACTAAACCTGCCCAGAAAAAAACTCAGGTTCATGGGCCACAGTGGTTGAAAGCTCTAGGACTTCTCCATGTAGGGATAAGCTACCTCCTCCCATCCTTACCACTCTACCATATGTAACCTCAATCTACCAGCCTTGTTCCAGAGACTTACAAATAAATCTCAAAAACAAAAAATCAACTAGCTGCAAAAATTTCTTGGACACAGCCCAGTTAAAAATTTACCACAGCTGGACTTCCCAGTTAAAAATTCTGGATTTTCTGGAGCAACATCTCCAAACTTTTTAACACTGACAATCCAGTCATAGCATTGCAGATGGGATGGGATGTAATGTGTAAGCCAACCAATCTCTGAACAAAATCATGAACACCGAAGGCTTAAATTAAAACCAATTCCCTAGTTAAGACTTAATGTCCCTATGGTGAGGTACAACAATTTTTACTAATTTTCTTCTAAGGAAATATATTTTGACCATTCCTTTAGCCATTTATTCTAAATTCCTAAAGCCATTTATTCATAATAAGTAATACAAAATAAATTACTGTGGATGTGCTACAGGGTCAAGCTTAAGGAGTGGTTGAGAAAATTGGGACAATGATGGACAGTAGGTGACAGTGGAGGTGGGATTAGAATTAGAATATTGTATGCCTGTAACAAATCATGAACAACTTTGCAAACCATGATGTTTAAATAAGGTGTGTGGGGAGGGGACAGAAATGAGAGAATTCTGTGAGGACCTAATAAATAATCTTCACTGTGTTATTTATAGGATTTGACACTACTATTTAACACAGATTATGAACTAGCACTCAACTAATTAAATGCTTAAAAACATCTTGATTAAATCATAGTACTTAAAATATAATTTCAAGTTTTAATAACTTTATTGCAAAGAATTGAACATGTCACTTATTTTTATTTACATTTAGATCTCTTTTAAGGTCTCTTTAATGCTGATTGGTTTATTGCTGACTCAACAGTTTTTATGATTCTGAGATTCTCTGTAAACTTTTATGAGATAGCTATTACTCTGGATAAAATTTTTAATGTAGTATATTCAGATTCCCAGAAATAAATCACTTCTGTGGAAATATTTAGAGCATTGAAGTTTAATAACTCACTGAGGTAGAACAGCTTTCTAATTTTCCCGTTATATTCTGTCTTTGATTCAATTTACTCCTTATATATGTTATAATCAATAGACTTTGATAGTAAGAGATTACACATAAGGACAATGGTTGCAAGTCCCAGGCTCTTTGATGTTGGGATGTGCTGTAACTTTGTCCATTAGTTCCATAAACTTTAAAACATGTTACCTAAACTGTTTTTTTAAAAAAAATAGATTCTTAGAAAAATCAAAGTGAAAACCAATTCTCTTCAAGTTTACAAAATGCTAGAGTCTGACTAATTTAAAAGTTTAGATATCCTCATCAACTTAATCATTAATGCAACATATGTCCCGGGAAGGTAGTCATCAGAGGCAGGTGTTAAACAACGAAATAATCCTTGAGAGTGATCTCATGTAGCTGGAACAAAGATGGATCCCAGGATAACAGACCAGAATACACAGATCCAAGAAGTCCTTGAATCATAGTTTGAATTACCTGGGGATGATGAGGGTATGTATACAAAAAGAAATGGAAGCATCCTTCACATTAAGGTGTGCTGTGTAAGTTAAGGCTAGATGTCAGCCAAGTTTTACTTAGTACAATTAAAAAGAACTTTGGTGAATAGTTAAAAATGTAAGAGATTGGTTGATTTTCAATCCTGAGCTGTCTAGTTTTATTTAGTTCTTTCTTTGAGGTGAGTGTGTCTAGGTAAACCTGAGCATACTTAAGGAATGTGTAATGCTGCCTCCATGTCTATATTGCTTTTATTATGACAAGAATATCTTTTTCCTTCCTTCCTTCTTTCCTTCTTTCCTTCCTACTCTCCTTTCTTCCTTCTTCCTTCCCTTCCTTCCTTCCTTCCTTCCTTCCTTCCTTCCTTCCTTCCTTCCTTCCTTCCATCCTTCCACCCTTCCTTCTTCTTTCCTTTCCACTTTCCTTACTACCTTCAGTTATTTCCTACTTTCTTTCTTCTCCATATCATTCTTTCGCTTTCCCTTTTTCTCTTTTACTCCTTCCTCTTCTTTCCCTCTCCCTTTTCCCCTCTTTCCTTTTCCCCCCTCTCGCTCTTTGTTCTTTCTATATTTTCTCTATATTTCTTATCAAATAAAAAAGGAAACTCTAGCTCAGACAAGTTCTTTCTTTTTAAGAAGAATTGGTTTCTTTCTAGTATTAAGCAATTAATTGTAGTACATCCAATATAAATTCCATCTTATTAATATTTTAGTAATAAAGAGAACAAGAAATCTTAATAAGTTAATGTATTTTGAAAGTTGCTAGAAGGTTAGTGAAACATGTAGCCTATATAGTTTTTAGATTTGATTTTGTGAATGATAGGATACATTGTAGTCATAGGTCATGTAGGCTTTTATTTTGGGTGTAATGTACTCTAATAAAGTCAATCTTAAAGTGATTTACACAGTAGTAATATAAAAACAACCCACTCTGTGGAAACAGACAAGAAAATGTGTGTAAAACTTTGACCAAAGTATCTAAGAAAATGAAATTATATTAGCAAAATTTTTGAGCCCATCTGCTGTTTTAATACAGCAATACATTTTTAATTTCTACTTATTTATTTATTTTAAGCACCATGCTTTCCAATAATATTACTGTGGGATTTTATGGTTAATACCCTACCCTCCTCCAGAGTGCCCCCACACAGCTCGCTCTCCCTAAGCCTAGTTCCCTCCCCAAGTAAGTACATGCACCACTCTCCAAGGTCAGTTCTGTAGACCATTCTCAGGGTCTCATATTCATTTTGTAAATATTTTTATTTAATTAAAGAACCATGATTTGCAAAACTATTGATAATTGGATCTTAGGCAATGCAAATTTTTACGTTGTCAAATTACTCATTGCAAGAGACACAGAGTTACAAAGTTGTCCATGATTGTGTTTCAATCATACAATGTTCCAACACTGTCCCTTCATAAGTGTACATTTCCCACCACCAATGTCCCCAGTTTCTCCTTCCACCTTCCCACTCCCAATCTGCCTCTAAGGCAGGCACTTTTCTTCTCTCTCCTTCCCTCTCTTTACCTCTCTCTCTCTCTCTCTCTCTCTCTCTCTCTCTCTCTCGTGCACATACTCTCATTCTCACTCTCGCTCTCATTCGCTCTCTCTCTTTCTGTCTCTCTCCTTTTGATCATTATGGTTTGAAGTACAAGTAATGTAAATGTTTCACATATATCCCTTTACATATACTCACCAATCAGTTATTTCAAGAGTGATTATTTCTGTGATTTTCTTATTGGTGCCCTCTCTCTCCTAACTACCCTACCCACCTCCCCATTTGTGACAATCTTCCAACTGTGATCCCATCCTCCTGTCCCTCATTTCTATTGTCCTTGGGTAATAGTTTCATACTGTGTTTTTCATATCCCACAAATTAGTGCAGTCACTCTATGTCTGTTTCTTGACTCTGACTCTAGGCATGATACTCTCCATGTCCATCCATTTATAAGCAAATTTTATAACTTCATTTTTCCTAGCTGTATAGTATAGCATTGTGGGCATCACACTCTTAACCTAAAAATTCAGGGAACTATAAAAATCCATTTGCTTTATTGAGTGTTTTTTAAGCAGATAAGTTTTAATTCTACGTTACATTCACTTCTTTAGCTCTCTGGTGAGTTCACATCCTACATATGAGACAAAAGGAAAGTATGGAAAAATTATCTCCATTATCATACTCTCATGTATATACTAAGTTGTATAATAATGTTAGTAGTGAAATGTCACCAAGGGAAATTTCAATATTGTATTTGTGTTTCAGCTTCTGACATGGCAGCAGAACAGGGACAGATTCTCGTGATAGCTACGGCAGCTGTTGGGGGATTCACTCTCCTCGTCATCCTTACTTTGTTCTTCTTAATCACTGGGAGGTAACTGAAGTGTATAAGATTCTTTCCAACATCTTCAAATGACCATTTCACTCTGTATTCAAATGTCTTTAAATGTAATAACACATGCCTCAGAGATAGGGGTCAGGGTGGAAAGATGGCCAATTCTCTCTCAGCTGCTTCTTTACAATGAAGCAACCAAGGAGCTGATTAGAAAAACACACAGGAAGCTATGAATGATAAACTCCTATTAAATGAGTTAGTTCTGAGATTTTTCCATTAACTAGGTTAAATTACACTATAAACGAAACTATTCTTGGGATAACTGAAGAACTTACTTAAAAGTTCTTTAGGGATGTAGTGCTATATCAGCATTTGTTTTTATTCACTAAATATTGAAAGTATCTACATTAGTATCATGTAATTAGTTTTATTCATCTAAGTGTTTCTATTTTTTAATAATTTAGAGATTTAAAGTAAAAATAAATAACATAGAAGAAAAACCTAGCTTTAAAATCTTGTTAGGTGGTAAAATGCTTCACCTTTTTCCATGCATTGCTATTTTCATGCAGATTTGGGATGACAGTGTATTAAAATTGTACGTTTCTAAATATATTGAATTGTTACTGTGAACCCAGTATTTTCAAAACAGAGAAATGAGTGAAAAATATGTATGAATTCTTTAAGTGACTTTCCTATTTTATTCTGGATATACATTATTATCATAGTTTTAAATATTATATATGAAAATTATTCCTTCAGGTTATTGATAGGAGCACAGAAGAATAACTGGAGTATATTCTTGATAATCTAAACACACACATACTGCAAAATGCCAGTGTTATGATTTAAAACAGCAATAAGAATGCCCAAGCAATGCCCATTCATGCTGACTCCAGCTAAAATATTTCATCACTACTGGAAAATCATGATATATGATAATGAGCAAAAATAACAAATAGTTACCTTCAGGGGCAATAACTCAGTGAACTGTAAACCCCAGTTGTTTTATTCATTTTTAAAACTACCTATATTTAATAGTTTATTAAAATTTATAAAATATTACAGGAATGTGCACATATGAAAAATATTTATCTATAATTTTGACAGTCAACTAAAGATGTAGGTCAATAAATTGACATATATTTAGAATGCACTTACGAAGCACCAGTCCCTGACAAAAAGTAATCGCCACATGTTAAAGGTGTAATGGATTTAGTGGTAACAAACCAGCTCTTACAGAATTTATCAAAAAAAAAACAAAGAAGCAAATGAATATTCTAATGTGCTTGAATTGAAATGCTAACTCCTTATGAAATTAATTGGAAAGGGTCATGTTGACAATTTTTTTTGGTTACATAAAATTTTGAGTTAAAAATAGACATAACACTGATGCTGTTTTAGTAGCACTTTGGTCAGAATCTCCTGCTTTGCAAAACTGATTAATTACTAGAATACTAGATATAGTAACAAGGGGGAGGAACATTTGACAATAAGCAGGAAAGAATGATAAATTAATCCTAAAAAAATAAGTATGTGGGCATAACATGTGTTGATGCAGGCAAAATAATTGTGGGTGTCTGTGTTTGTGCATGTTTTCTTATTTTTATTTTGAAAACATTCAGTAATAAAAAATGCTCAAACTCAGAGTTGGAAATAGAAGTTTATTTGAAAGTAGAGGAGAAACGTTCCCCCAGGAGCCAGGGAGATAGTACAGGGTTTAGGGCACTTGCCTAGCACGTAGATGACCTGAGTTCAGTCCCCAGTTTCCCAGGTGGTCCCCCAAACACCACCAGAAGTGACCCCTGGGCATTACTGGTTACCAAGTCTTTCTCAACGCCTACCCCCCACACCCCTGCAGAAAAAAAAAGAGAGAGAAAAAAAAGAAAGAAAAGAAAGCACTTTGCCTAGCTGGGAGAAACTTAGTATAGGTTAAGTATGATTCAGTTTTGGATGGACGTTTTTTTTGCCATTTTAATCTAAGTTCATTTTATTTTTTTAATTTTTTTATTTAGATTTTAAAATTAGTGAAACACCATGAAGTACAGTTGTAGATTTACAAATTTTTGTGCTTAGGTTTCAGTTATACAATAATCGAATACCCATCCCTCCACCAGTGCCCATTCTTGGGTGGACATTTTCATAGGAAAACTGGGTCTTTATGTTTCTTATCTAACAGTGTCAGAGGATTCCCATTTGTTTTAAAATAATATCTCATTAATTGATGGGGACTGTCTGTTTAGTTAGGACCTTTACTTAGGACCTTTGTATGTTTCACTTATGCACAGGTACTGCCTTCTAGTCTCCTGTGAGGGTAAGGTCTCTGTCAGAATTTATGGTCTTGGGGAAACTGTAAACTTCCCCAATTTTACAGAGCGCCCAGGAACTTTTGGAATGTTTAAAATGTAGAATGGATGGGCTGGATTGATAATACAGCGGATAGGGCGTTTGCCTTGCACGTGGCCTACTGGGGTTTGATTCCTAGCATCCCAAATGGTCCCCACAACACCGCCAGGAGTAATTCCTGAGTGCAAAGTCAGGAGTAACCCCTATGTATCGCAGGCTGTGATTCATAAAGCAAAGTAAGTAAGTAAGTAAGTAAGTAAGTAAGTAAATAAATAAATAAATAAATAAGTAGAATGGAACCGGCTAGAACCGGCTAGAACCGAGCTGCTTACAGCAGCGCGTCAGGAAAGAGGAAGGCTTCCTCATTCACCCCACCATTAGACACTGTTGTGCAGCAATTTTGATTTCTTGCCCCTTGGCCTCAGTACAGTGCTGAGGCAACCATTTATTAGAATGGGCAGAAAAAAAATTCTGGAGTCACTAAACCATCTAGGTATTAGGTTGAAAACAAAATTTTCAGTACTATTGTTGGCATTTTAAATATGATCGGGGAAGAAAGCAAAGCAGCACTCTTTATCTGTTAGAGACATGAGCTTAATTTTTTATTAATTTTAAGAAGGGTTAAAATTCTAATCCCATTTCCTTTTTTAAGAGATGTGGGATTAGAAGACAACAACATTTAGGAAAGTGGAAATGGAGAAAAATTATTTGAGGCAGAGGTTAAAGGTACCAGTAAGGAGAAAAGAAGGAAAAAAGAGGAGGAAAAGGGCATTTTTATGTAACATACCACAAAACACTAGCAATTTGCTTGAGTTAAAGGAAAAATAACAGTTATGGATTGTGAGAAGCTCTGTAAATGTTGCTAAGAAAATGTTAAGTAGAGGAATAAACTCATTCATTATCATTTATGACGTAAAGCGCTGCCCATGTGTTGTGAATTTAGAAACGTTCAGATTTATCTTAAAAATTCCTCTTTTGGAGTTGGGGAAATGAGTCAATAAGCTCCTGTGCACGCTTTGTACGCAGATGCCTTGGGTTTGATGGCTGTCACTGCACGCTGACCTAAACACTGCTGGGAGTGACTCTCCTCCACCCCTCAGAATTTTTTATCTTGAATTTGCAAATAACTTAGAGACAACAAGAGTGGAACATCCCCACCCCTACTTATTTAATTGTTAAAGTCCTAAAAGAATCTATAATGTGATCTTAACTCTAAAAGATACACATTGTACTAACTAAAATGGGACTATCTAGGTATGATGACTAATTTGATTCAGAAGGATTTTTATTTTCTAATTTGAAAGTTTCTTTACAAAAGTTGTTGATGCTGTCCTGAGGATAATTGTATTTAAAGAGGGAGGTCATTTATTCCAAATTAAGTGGATACCTCTAAATTTATAGTGGTAGGTGATTAAAATAAATTTTATTTAATAATGAATTAAAACGTAGCAATTTTCTAGTTTATATGTATATTATAGGTATTTTTAGAATAAGAGTTATGGATTTATTTCCTCAGCAGAGTGTGATTTACGTATGACATATCCACATATAAAAATGTTTTACTAAGACAACAAAAATCTTTATCTTAACACAAATATAATAAACATAAAAATTGGAGTCATTGTATCCTAAATAAGTTTACCTAATGAAATTGAGAGATAAAATCAAGTGGTACCTTTAATTAGGATCCCTGAAGTAGAATTTGCATTCCCCTTTAAGAAAGAATTTAATGATGAAGACAAATTTGAGCTAAATCATTTCAAGTGCTAATCTTCATGTTTAAAATTTATATGACACCAGAAGCTGTTTTAGCATTCTACATACAATTCCACTTTAATTATATAAAATTAAAAAGATCATTTTTAAGTATCTCTTACGCACTTTGGTAGGGGTGCATCCATTGGAAATTATCCTGTGAGGACTCTAAATCAGTCCTAAATAAATGCTCCATTTCCCATTAGATTTGAGGCAAAATTCACCTTGAGAAATTGGATTGTGCACCACAAATATATTTTGTTTTAATCATGTGGAATAAGCAATTTTATGAGCTGTCAAATGATATGGTTGTTAATGAGTTTATTCATATTGAAATCATGGGATATAAATGCCTACCTCTATTCTTTGAAGCATGAATATCCCAACACAGAACTGAACATGCCTTTACTGAATTTCTGATACATAATATTTAAAAGTCTTTTTGAATGCCACTAAAAATGACAGTGAAATTTCTTAGGTCCTAATTCAAACTTTTTTTTAAATTTTTAGCTTTTAACGCTTTTCCCCAATTTTGACTATTAAAAGACTGTATATTGTAGCTGATCATAAAATATTTCCTTGGATTCATGTAGATTATGCATAAGTGGTTTTTCCCCTAAACTCATGGATCTTTGAGAATTATATGAAAGATTTGCATTAAGATCTCAGTAGCTTAAGAAGTAAAGATGAAACATCTTAAGCTGGAGGGACCCAGACAAGTAGATGGGTCCAGTGGATGGGTCCCACTGTCCAGGCCTCTCGTTTTACCCATGAGTGATGTCACTCATACTATGCCTTGATGTCCAGCTCAATGTATGACCATCTAAGTCATATTCCTCATCTCCTCATCTCCAGTGTAATGACCTGGTCTTATCCCTAAGCTATTCTCTATCAACTGTATACTTTCTTAGTCTGAAATTTTCAGCTAGAACCCTGTCACTAGTCCTCTAACTGGGGCTTGCTGCTCTGTGACCTGATGTACCCAGTCACTCTCTGTTGCCATGACTTTTTTATTTTCTGACCAGGGCGCCATGTGCCTGGGTGAGGTCCTTGAACTCCTGCTGTCTGTCTGGGCTAGATGAAGGGTCCAAGAGAATCTTGCCTTGCGGTAGGATTCCTTTTATCTGCCCCTGTTCTCCTACCCCCAGTCATATCGTTCTCTACTTTGATTAGATACTTTTTCAGAAAAGTTTTCAAGTGACCAATTAAATTAATTAGTCCACCTGGCACTTTGCCCTACCACTCTCAATGCATCAATATCACATGAATCAATCAATTCCCTTGAGTATTTTATTTTTATCTGAGTCTAATTTTGAGAAGTGAATAAAAAATATCTTTGAACAACTTTCACTTTATAAAATATTGTCTCTGTGGTAAGAACTTTACTGTGGGTTAAATGAATAGTTGGGGTTCTCATCAAATATATTTCCAAAAATAAAAGACTCTTTGCCTTTTCTAAAGGTGCCAATGGTACATAAAGGCAAAAATGAAATCAGAAGAGAAGAGGAGAAATCACATGCAGAATGGACATTGTAAGTAGAGCAGTAATTCTTACATTATATTATCCCAACATGTCAAGAGTTCTTTTTGACTTATATCCACTGAGTTGATGTCACTTCAGTCTGCTAGTATTAAGACTTTCCATTTTTGCTTCTAGGTGTGTTGGTAGAAATTACACCTCCTTCCCATTAAAATAAAATACTTTTTTCCTAACTCTACTTGCTGGGAAATATGACAGAGTGAATACACTAAAAATACAAGTTGTGTGTCTAGTTATTTACCACTCACAATGGCTCCAGTACTTGAATTGGTTTTATTTAATTGAGTATTTGGCATAGAAATATTAAGAAATTCTTATTCCTTCTGGTAGGGACTGTCATTTAAACATATTACAAATCAATTTACAATTCATTAACACTGAAAAAGAAAATCAGCTCTTTAACTCTTAGAATATGTATGAAATCCTTGAACTGACTACAAGGTTACATTCATTTGAACGATCTCTTCCAAAGCAAGCTATAATTACCACTATAGTTGGTTTGATAATTGCCACCCTCTTCTCCCCAACACCCACCTCCACCTCCACCTCCAAATGGCAAACTACCTTGTCAAGATGGTTTCTCTGTAGTCAGACACTGAATTAACAAGAAAGGGAAGTTCTCTAATTAACCACAGTATAAAGATAATACATGGAGCAAGGTGTTTAACTATTTAGTCTTCTGTTTCAAGTTCAGCAGAAGGAATAAGGATCTTTGGCATCTATACCACCCCAAGAGAAGGAAAGACTTTGACTGGGAATATTATAAACTAAAGGAATGATCTGGAGGGATTGCTAAAACTCACTGAATTTCTTATGTATTGGTTTTAATCTGCATCAAAATGTTCCACCCTCATTCACCTGACTCACAAGACACAGGGTAGGGATAGAGCATACGTTTTTAGCAAATCTCAAGTTTTAAACAGTAAATTGAGGCTCATTGTTCTAGCAGGGTAGAGAGAGCATACAAAGCCCATCGCAGGCATAGGCTGTGCTGCAAAGACTGTAAACATACAGAAATCTGGATGGAGACAACAGGGCATATAACTAAGACCAAGGGGCCTTAGGATTCACTACTGGGCATTTAGTACAAAATGAAGAGAGAAAGAATTCTCCTGAGGTATTTATTATGTTTCCCAACTAGTGGGTTAGCATAAACCAAACCAGATGGCCTCAGCAAGAAACCACGAAAATAACCTGAATTAGCCAAGGAAATAGAAGAAAGATAACAAAGTTACATTTTAAAAAGATATGAATAAGTTAAATGTGTAAACAGAAATTTTAAATCGGAACTGTTCATTTTTCACTCTGCACTACATGCATTGTGTTTAGAGAAAAACAGTGTAGAGGCAGAGAGAAGAGAAAAAATCAAATTTGGGATAAAATGTCTGAGTACTGTAGCATTCAACTCTTCATTTTAAATATTCGCTAGTTCTATACTTGCTAATGTAGTCTCCAATGAAATAACTTTTTGTTGTTGTTGCAGTGCGTTTTCCAGGAATTAAAACTTACATAGATCCAGATACTTATGAAGACCCATCCCTAGCAGTTCATGAATTTGCAAAAGAAATTGATCCCTCAAGAATTCGCATTGAGAGAGTCATTGGAGCAGGTAAACTTAAAATCTACACTTTGAGAATGATTCTTTGTGTTTTTATAATTGACTTATTCATGTAATATTTTAAACATTAGTCATTTTAATAATTGAAAAAAGTAAGAAATAAAAAATGAAACTTATTTATTTAATTTTAACATAAAATATTAAAAAGAAACTATAGTACATACTTAAAAAAATACTGCAGTCAGTTTCCAAACAACGAGAAATTTTGCAGAAGTTATTTATAATATGCTGTGTCCCTCTTTCGTATGAAGATAAATTACAATGAAACTAGACTGATTTGGGAGTTTATTTTGAAAATGCAACTTCAGGATTTCATAATGGGTTATTAAAGATTTATAATTAGTATTCATATTGAAGACCTTCAGACTCTACCAATCTTGCAATGTTCTAAGAATCATAAGTAAAATTTGGGTTAATACTTTTTATATCACTTTAATGCAGATTATTAGTTTTCTCTATATAGAACATTTACACACTCAGAAGACTATATCATTCAACAATTCTTTATAGATTTTACAATTCTCTCATAAATTATCTCAAAAGAATTAACTGTGTGTAGATAGATAGATAGATAGTTAGATAGATAGATAGATGGATATATATGGATATGTATTACAGGTTAAGACAATGCAACAGAGAGATCACAGAATATAGATTTATTTCTCTTTCAAATTCTTGACCCAAGGTGATTAGTCCATGCTGACAGAGTAGCTCTCATCCAGGAGGTCTTAAAAGGCCCTGAGATCCTTCTACTCTTTGCACTAGCTTCCCCTATTATGTGGTCTAACTGAATCGTCAAAGCTAGGTCAGCAATACATTTGTCCTCCAATTAGTGAGGAAGAACTAAGAGCTCAGCCTCTGAGTTTATAAGGAAGCCACCTAGAAATCGTGTACTCTTCTCTTCACATCAGCAATCATATTGACACACCTTATGCAAGCATTTAAAAATTTACCTTCTGAGGGACTGGAGCGATAGCACAGTGGGTAGGGCGTTTGCCTTGCATGCAGCCAATGTGGCCAACCCAGGTTCAATTCCCAGCGTCCCATATGGTCCCCCGAGTGCCGCCAGGAGCAATTCCTGAGTGCATGAGCCAGGAGTAACCCCTGAGCATCACCGGGTGTGACCCAAAAAAGCAAAAAAAAATAAAATTTACCTTCTGAAAATAAAACCAGACTAAATACTACCAAATAAGGGTAGGAGGATATATTACTAAATAGAAAAATGATACTAGACTGGATGTGCGGGTGCTGATCTCCTCTGAGGTGCTCAATGTGATCCCCTAGCAAGAACAAAGGCAATCAAGAACTGACCATGATGGTCACTTAGTCTTTGCTAAAGACAAACTAAAGACAGGCTGGTAATTTTTTGCTCCTTTCAAAGACCCATTTTACCCAAGGACTACCTATATAATTTTCAGAGACCAGTGGATAATGAAAATATGCGGTCCCTTGAAATCAACCAGAGAGAGAGGAAGAGTCTCAGAATGATCTCTCATATATGGGATATAAGGAAACATTATAGGGTAATATCAAATGCTCAATGGCAATAGAAATGAAGAGCAGAACTGGGCTTTAGTAGGAAACTTGGGACTAGGGGACACATGAGGGGGACAAGTTAATGAAGGAAACATTAGGACAACGAGGAGGGGGAAAGTGGCTGCCAGAGAGGTAGGCTGGGGGACAGGAGGGATATTGCGGACATTGGTGAAGGGAGGTGAGCTCTGGTGAAGGGATTGGTTTGGAACAACATACACCTGAAAAGCAAGCATAAATCTCTTCGTAACTTTGTAATTCACAGTGATCTAATTTAAAAAAATATTTTAAAATGCATAATATCTAGGCCTAAAGAGATGCTACAGTGAATTAATAACGTATCTGCATGTGGACCCAGGTTCCATCCCCAGCCCCGCATATGGTCCCTAGTCACTCCACATGGTCCCGAAATCATCACCAGAGGTGAATCCTGAATGTAGAGCCAGGTGAAGGCCTCTAGAAATGACCCAAAGTCAAACAAATAAATGTGTATACAATTATGTATCTTAGGATAGTGACAACTCAGTATTAAATAAACAGCAGAATCCTGATACACTCAAAGTTCAGTGTGGTTTTTGCTCACTGAACTGCTTTTCAGATAAAACTGAGGACTGAAGTGATTCTAGTTCCTTTGAAGAACTTTTGTAATGTCTTTTGATAGCAGGCCACTTCCTAAACATGGTAGGTAATCTCATGTCTTACATGGTCAGTTCATGGGTATAGAGGGGACTTTCCTCAATATAGTTAAAACCATCTACCACAAGCCTTCAGCAAGCATCATCCTCAATGGGGAAAAACTGAGAGTCTTCCCTCTAAGATCAGGGATGAGATAAGGCTGCCCACTCTCTCCACTGCTGTTCAATACAGTAATGGAAGTACTTGCAAGAGCGGTTAGGCAAGAAAAAGATATTAAAGGCATTCAGATAGGAAAGGAAGAACTCAAGCTCTCACTATACTTAGAGAACCCTAAAACGTCTACCAAGAAACTCCTAGAAACAATGTATTTGTATAGTAAAGTTGCAGGTTATAAAATCAAAACCCAAAAGTCCATGGCTTTCCAATACGCAAACAGCAAGAGAGAAGAAATAACATGAAAAGAACAATCCCATTCACAATTGTGCCCCAGAAAATCATGTACCTAGGAATCAGCTTAACTAAGGAAGTAAAATACCTGTGCAAAGAAAACTACAAAATGCTTCTTCAGGAAATAAAAGAGGACACAATAAATTGGAAAGATATCCCCTACTCATGGATCGGGAGAATTAACATTGTCAAAATGGCAATACTTCCCAGAGCATTGTACAAATTCAATGTGATCCCTATATGGATATCCATGACATTCTTCAAAGAAATGGAGCAAATTCTCCTGAAATTCATACAGAACAATAAGACCCCACGAATAGCTAAAGCAATTCTTGTGAAAAAGAAAATGGGAGGACTCAAACTTCCCAGCTCAAACTCTACTACAAAGCAGTAATAATTAAAACAGCATGGTACTGCAACAAAGGCAGAGCTGCAGACCAATGGAACAGGGTTTAATATACTGACATCTCCGTAGGGTGTTCACCTTACAAGCGGCCAACATGGCCGACCCGAGTTCGATTCCTCCGCCCCTCTCGGAGAGCCCGGCAAGCTACCGAGAGTATTGGATATGCCAGACACAGTAACAACAAAGTCTCCAATGGAGACGTTACTGGGCCCGCTCGAGCAAATCGACGATCAACGGGAGGGCCTTAAGCATCTAATCTTTGATAAAGGAGCAAGAAATGTGAAGTGGAGTAAGGAAAGCCTCTTTAACAAATTGTGCTGGCAAAACTGGACAGCTACATGCAAAAAATGGGCTCAGATCTCTACCTAACACCATGTACAAAAGTAAGATCAAAATGGATTAAAGACCTAAACTACGGTCTGGAATCCATAAGCTACATTGAAGACATGGTTGGCAAAAACCTCCACAACATTGAACCTAACGGTATCTTCAAAGATGTCATGCCACTGGCCAAGCAAGTGAAAACAGAGATAGACAAATGGGACTAACTTAAACTAAGAAGCTTCTGAACCTCAAAAGAAACTGTCACTGTCACTGTCCTCCCGTTGTTCATCAATTTTCTCAAGCAGGCCCAGTAACATCTGCATTTCGAGACTTATTACTGTGTCTGGCATATCAGATACGCCATGGGTACCTTGCCAGGCTTTGCCATGCTGGTGAGATACTCTCGGTAGCTTGCTGGGCTTTCCGAGAGGGATGGGGTAATCGAACTTGGGTCGGCCATGTTGACTGTGTATAAGGCAAATGCCCTACCCACTGTGCTATCACTCTAGCCCACCTCAAAAGAAACAGTGACCAAAATACAAAGACAGTCTACAGAATGAGAAAGGACATTCGTCCAATACTCATCCAACAAGGGGTTGGTATCAAGGATATACAAAGTACTGGTTGAACTCCACAAAAAGAAAACATCCAACCCCATCAGAAAGTGGGGTGACAAAATGAACAGAAACTGTCTCAAAGAAGAAATCCAAATGGCAAAAAGGCACATGAGAATGTGCTCTACATCATTAATCATCAGGGAGATGCAGATCAAAACAATAAGATATCATCTAACACCACAGAGACTGACTCACATCCAAAAGAACAAAAGCAACCAGTGTTGGTGCGAATGCGGCGAGAAAGGGACCCTCCTTCAATGCCGGTGGCAATACCGAATGGTTCATCCCTTTTGGAAAACAGTATGGACGATTCTCAAAAAATTAGAAATTGTGTTCCCATTTGACCTAGCAATACCACTCCTGGGAATATATTCCAGAGAGGCAAAAAAAAAGTACAGTGGAAGTGTCATCTACACTTGTTTGTTCATTGCAGCACTGTTTACAATAGCCAGAATTTGTAAAAAAAAAAAAAAAAAAAAAAAAAAAACACCTGGGTGCTCAAGAACAGATGACTGGTTAAAGAAACTTTGGTACATAATGGAGTACTATGTAGCTGTTAGAAAAGATGAAGGCATGAAATTTACATACAAGTGGTACTACATAGAAAGTATCATGCTAAGTGAGATGAGTCAGAAAGAGAGGGACATACATAGAAAGATTGCATTCATCTGGGGAACATAAAGTAACAAAATAGGAGACTAACACTCAAGAATAGCCAAGATAAGTACCAGGAGGTTTACTCCATGGATTGGAGGCCCGCCACACATGCTAAGGGAAAAGGCAGCTCAGATAGAAAAGGGAACACCAAATAAAGGGTGTTGGAGGATACTTCCAGGATGGGAGATGCGTGCTGAAAGTAGACTATAGATCAAACATGATTGTCACTCAATGCCTCTTTTGCAAACCACAGCCCCAAAGGAGAGAGAGAACAAAAGGAAATGCCCTGCCACTGAGGTGGGGTGAGATGGGGGGGATGGGGGGTGAGGGGGATACTGGGACCCGTGGTGGTGGAGAATGGGCATTGGTGG